CGGCTCATACGTGCCTGCTCAGATGACACGTGCTCAGGGCAGAACATCACCCTCTTATGAAACATCCTGGTGATAACCGTAACGGAATCTGTACCCTGCTTGAGGGTCAAAAACTCTTGTGCCAACCGATCCCGTTCCACCAGAGGAACGTACTCATCACGAAACATGGTGGTGAACCTCTCCCAGGTCACCGCAGCAAGCTCTACTGGAGAATAGTGTGTTGTCGTGAACTTCCCCAGGCGAAGCTGGTTCAGCGCAAATCGAACCCTCAAGTGCTCCGGCCACAAGCATGGGTAGAAACAACCCTCAATATCATACACCCATCTCATCGCCGCAATCGGATCCTGCGTCCCATCAAACTCTGGTGGCTTCGTGTTGCTGAACTCTCGGAACAGCAACGCATCACCACCCTGCGGCTTCGCAGCAACAACAGCTGCGGTGGCCGCTTCAACAGCAGCCTCAGAAAGAGCAGCATAATGCTCGTCAAAAGTCTCAATCAACATGGTCATAATAGACCCGAACATCTCTGGTATCTCTGCCCTGATGGCCGTAGCCACCTCCTCATGGATGATCCGACGGATCTCCTCATCACTAGCCCCACTGCTCTCTGGCATAAGACGTGTCCTCACCATGATCTACCTCTGAAATACAACATACGATATATTAGAAATTCACTCGAGTATACTCGCACTCGATAACTCATCCCTCCTTAATCCCTGACATCCCAAAGATTCTTACTTGGACTGTACACCGACCCGGTGTTTTCAGTAGTACGGGCCCAATACTACTGTCCGCACCGTATCAGTATACATCCCAAGTCCTCCTCTTCGGATCCCAAATCCCAAGTACTCTACTATGCATAATCCACTATCTAACATATCTCTCATAAGCTCATCGCTGCTACCTATTCACTCTCAATCATCTCATAGCATCTCACCTCTCCCTAGGCTAAGGCATCACAAAACAGGGCACTTTAGTCCTAATAGGAATACCTAGCCCACTCTAGCAAGAGAATACATCATATCAATCTCATAAACATATAACATAACGGTATTTTGGGAAATCACCGTTCGGGCGCTGACTAATCGTACACACGTTTTTGCTCTGTGTTTCTCTAAAAATCTTCTACATCTTTTAGAAAATTTGGTTCTCTTTTGAAAATATTTTACAAATCCTCAGTTTGAGTTCAAATACTCCCGAAGGTGTACCCGAATCCCTCAAACCAAGGCTCTGATACGAACTTGTAACACCGTAAATTCCAAAACAATTTTTCGCATTTATAAAAACATAATTCATTTGTAAATCATAAAAACATCATTGTTTGAAACTCAATGTATAACATATAACAATATCCCAAGATCTTGTATCATAAAAATCCCGTGTGTGTACTGATCAAGCCGACGCCTTCCTGCGATCCTCACTAGTACCTGAAACACATAACAAAAACATTGTAAGCACAAAGCTTAGTGAGTTCCCCAAAATACCACATATAACACATATTAGCCACTCGAGGCTATAACTCTGTGGGTCCGTGCACCCAAACTCTGTGAACCCTCAGGTTCTAACTCTGCAAGCATGCACAACATAAATCACATAGAAGAATGCAGTACAACAAACAATATATATAAAGCACTGTATCACATAACTCTATTTACCTACTCAAGGTAAAGTATAGTGAGAAGACTCACCTTGCGTATCTCGGTAACTCGCAAATCCCTGAAATCACTAGTGCTCGATCTCCCGAGCTATAGTCCTCCTATAACACAATACATCTCTAATTAACACTTCCTAATTAAGGTTGACTAACTCTATCAAGTCAACACCGATCAACTCTGGTCAATGGTCAATGGTCAACCCCAACTCGTTGAGTATGGTGTGGACTCATCGAGTCCCTACGAGGACCTAATTCCTCTGAGTCCCTTCCGACTCACCGAGTCACTCACCCAACTTGGTTACTCAACCCCTGGTTCGAAATCTATGAACAACCCGCACCAACTCGTCGAGTCTGCCAATGGACTCGGCGAGTGCATTCCATGCACAACCCCAAACGACCTTCTGAGGTCAGATCTGTTCCAATAACTCATAGATCCAGTCCTTCCAAGCTTATTTATCACGTAAAGTTCATGTCTTAGCGCTCATATCACACCTAATGACTCATAAATGGTGTTTTGACCTCAAACACAAAGATCCCAACCCAAAACCTCCATGGATTCATAAAAAGCTTGGACAAAGGGACACTCTGGACCTCCAAGGGTCCAAATCCAGAACCTAACTCGCTTAAGGGACCAAATGGGCACTAGATCTAGCCACAAAAGGGCTCAATAAACCCTAAATCAACATGAACATCACCTCAACAGAAAAGGGTTCGAAAATGGTACCTCAAATGTGATGTTCTGGACCTCAAATCTTCAAGAAGTTGTTCCTCTTGCTTCCTCTTAGCTAAAACTTCCTTTCCCTTGCTAAACAACACCTCCAAGGTTGATAATGGCTCCTTCTCTCACTCCACACGCTCAAATGCACTAGGGTTTTGCTCTGGGGGCTGGTGAGCAAAAATGACGGCCATAAGGCCCTTTAAATAGGCCCCAAACCCGAGAAATTAGGGTTTCATTAAATAGCGCTGACTCGTCGAGTCCACTAATGCGACTCGTCGAGTCCGGTCATTAATCCGGATGAGAAATTGCGTCTCTACTCGGCGAGTCTACGCACCAACTCGCCGAGTTCTTCCTCAAAACTCAAAATAAAAAGAATAAATATAATACCTGAAATTTTCGGCTGTTACAAAAATAGATTTGGCATTAAATACTAAGACCAAATCCAAATCAAATAAATCAAATAAGAGGCATTATTGATTGTATTATTTTAGACTTTCTTTGGCTTATTTTATTCTTGGGGGTTGTAGAAATAGCAATGCACTTGATGGGATTACCAAAAAAGCTTTCAACTATTGGTATAAGTGAGTTACCCATGTAGAAACAACAACATTATTATAATGAGAAAAAGAGACTAAAATCACAACCATTATAATTTGTAGGTTCTCAAAAGTATAAGCCTTAATAAAAAAAGATTAAAAATTCAACGTTATAAATGTTATAATGCACAAATATTTGAAATTACATTGATATTTCTTCCATTTAAGCCTATTCTTAATTCAAAATGAAGTAAGATTGTCCAAAATGTAATTCTTTGAAAAAAAATGTATTTCTTTACCCATTACCAGTATTATTCCATGCAGGAGATTCCTTGTTGAGAAGAACAAATGTTTATATATCATTTCTACTAAACACTTACTACAAAATCTGGTTAAATGATCTGAATCTGATCAAGTCAGATGTAGCTTCTTACTGAATACAGTAAGTGGCAAATTAAAGAACCCCTTTATCTTTTAGATGTTAACTTCATTTAAGAGGTAAATTTGGTAACTTCTATTTTGGTTTATTGGTATTTTTCAAACATATATATGATTATATATTTTAGATAAAATGTAAATAAATTGTATTACACACATACATTTATTAGTGAAAATGTGAAATGGAATGTAACAAAGTGGTAAAGAATATTTTTTACTATGACAACTAGGACCAAGAGGATAAGACTGACTTGTTGTGCTTCATGCCAGAAATGCTTACCATCCGACCCACCAAACCACCAGCCACACCACCCTCCACCACCACCTCTACCATCACCTACCTCATCCCTCTTCTTTATTTCCTTGTCCCATTTCTATAACTCTATTTTCTTGCCACCAAGTGGACTTTTTAGAGCTGTCTTGGCCACATACAAGAACAAATGATGTACAAAAGTAAAATGTGAATTGACAAGAATTGAAGATGGACTTGGTACATGTGGTATGTGTATATCATTATCTATAATATGAATATCTTTATCACCTTACGCATTACTCCGTGAATTTTATTGAACCTTTAAAGTTCACCCACTTAACTAAAAATCTAATCATTAGTTTCCAAGACTGAATCATTAGCAAATAGCAACACAGTAACTTTCGTAACTTTTACTTTTAGAGAATCCTTGTGATACTTCTCTGAGAAGGATTTATGGAGCTTTTCCTTAATTTGAGCTCATAATTCCCGGTTTCCCGGTTTGTGTTTAACAATTCTTAAAACGAAGTCCACCCAAGTTTTCTATCCAAAGTATATGCAAAAAATATATAAATTTAACTTAGTGTAAGCATTTTCATATATACAGATTTTGTTTAATCATGTTCTACTATTGAAGATGGATTTGAAAATAGTGCAATTGAAATTGGCATGAGGAGGACAACTTTACATTAAATTTTGAGTGATTCTATAGCAATTAATAAAGTTCAAGCCAACCGAGTAGAAAAACATGCACATTAAACAATAATCAAAACATGTGTTGGCATGTTGAGTAAAAAATCAAATTGGATGATAATACCATGCTACGATTATAGGAGAATAAGTAATAGATTCTTCCATCATATTTTAGGTCACGTTGTAGAGAATTCCACCTATAGCTTGTCTCTTGATGGCAATGGTGAGTCAAATTGATTGACTGAGCATCTAAGAGAGCAAGACAATATCTAATTGCTAGAGATTTAGATGAACTTGGGTGGCTTATAAATAGAATTTAGGTCACATTATAGAGAATTCCAGCTATAGCTCGCCTCTTGATGGCGACTATGAGTCAAATTGATTGACTAAGCATCTGAGAGAGCAAGAAAAGATACAATTGCTAAGGATGTTGATGAACTTGGGTGGCTTATACTTAGAAGCTGCACCATAGAGATGAAGGATGCTTAAATCGAATTCTATAGATAACATCTCCAATCGAGCAACAAACCATTGATATTCCACTCTTCAATCGATGTTATGCAGTTCATGGAAAATAGGAGTGTCTTCTTTGGAAAATATGTCTTTGAGGAGAAGACGGTCAATGGTTTTGAGGAAGGAATCGATTCAGCTTCTAAATCAAGCTTATATATTCAAACCTAAACCTAGAACATTTGTAAATCGTTGGTGAAGATGCAGATTGAAAATTTTGTATCAGACGGGCCCCTAAAGAAAACAAGCGAAGTTGATGCCATCTCGTTGGAAAAGAAGACTATGTCAGAAAAACTTAAAAACATCAAGGAAGTAAAGGATGTTCGGAAGGTTCATGTATCTTCTGGTTATGGAAAAGGAAAAGTTAATATCATTTCGGAAGAGGATACTAAGGAAGATCCTGTGATGACTGAGTTAGAAAATGAGGCACGAGAGAAAAGGGATAAAGAGCTTGATGAACTCAATGCCCTCAAGTAAAAAATTGACGTCGAAGAGGCTGAAGTCAAAAATTCAGAATTGATTCTTGAAAACTAGAAAACCTTATTTCTAGCCTGGACTATTGAGGGGATACAAAAGGAAGCGAATTACGATCCAAATCTTTCTATGTTGGAACCAACAACCTCCTTTGACATAAATAATGGTGTAGAGTGTTAGTTGGATTTCCCCATCACTCCAAGGGTGTTCTCTTCTGATGGTTTGAAAAGATAAAGAAATCCTTAATCTCCAACAGTGCTGTAAATCAAAAGCTTTTCTCCTTTTATTTAAAATATGGGAAACCGCAATACGAGTCATAGAGTTTAAAAAGAATCATGGGACTGAAGGTTGTCTTGACGGTTCAAACATAAGACTTTCTGAATGTACAATTTAAAGGATTTCGAGGTTCCAAGCATGTTCTTCACGAGTTCACTCCGGTTGCTTTGCCATTTAGGAACCCCTTTGATTGGATCTCGTTATTTAACATTGTTATGAAGGATGTGGAGAAATAAGATCCCTTATATGAACACTTGAAGAGGATGAATAAGTGTTATATCCTAGAGATTGCAAATATGGATGTTGAAATAGCTTTTGTTCTGAAAAAGATACCAATTTTGAAGTCGTTTGATCAAACCGAAAGACATCCAACATCTAAAGGGAGGAATCATTCACAAAAATCAGTGGAACATCGTCTACAGAATGAAGGAGGGTGAAGTAATTAAGAACTGCATGTTCTTTTTAAGGGATAAGCATTTATACTCTACAAGTGCTCTGAACTCCATTCTTGAAAGGGCTAAAGCGAACAGGACCAACTCAGTTGTAGATGTCAAATATGTTTCGGACATGATTCATTGGTATGTATCTATCCGGGCAACCCTTCCGAAGATTATGCCAAAGATTTTAGACACAAAGGCGGAGATTGTTGAGTCATATTTTATGTTGTGTCAAATGGTTGTGTTCAGAATTTTGTGTTGTTCCAATTCTGAAATAAGCATGTTTGTTTTTTAAATTGATGTCTTGCTTGGTCTATATATAGCGTCTATATTTGACTTTTATGTAACTACTTTTGTAACATTTTCTTCCAGCATAGAAAGAATAGTTCCGATTACACGAACTGTTCTATTGCTGAGATTAATGGAGTTCAACTTCTTTTCAATTATTATCATTCATATCAATGATTCATTTCATAATATTGAATCTATCAGTTTTTAAATATTTCTATCAAACCTGTTTCACATGCAAGTAGCTATGATTAGATTAACAAGGATATTATTTACTATAAATTCATATTATCAATATGAGATATAGCAAAAGAGATTTCAAGAAAGACCCTTTTTCTTTATAGACATCTACTTGATGATATCTACATAGATTAGCCTGGAGGTTTTCTTAATCCATTTTATCCTACCAAAATGTGCAAGCTTGAGATCCACGTATAGGTATAAAGTAAACATCTTAAGTTTATAATCATCATTTTAATATAAAACTACAAGGTATGTTTTTATATCAAAAAGAATAGAACATGTGAGTTACTAAGAACTAGTGGGAGCATAGTGATATTCATAATCTGAACGAAGCATACTTTATCATAAGAAATTACATCCTGACCATGCCAAGTCTTTTCATCTTGACTCCTAACATATTTCTGAAATGAAAGACTTAGGCACGACATGATGCAGTCTTGGAATGTAAAATCTATAGATATAGATAAAATGAATGTTAAATGTTTTATATATTTATGGATAAAATGACAATATATATATATATATATATATATATATATATATATATCTTGAAAGAAATCAAGATATAAAATTCCATTAAAGGACTCTTGGAATTGTCACATGGCACTAAGTTTGAGCCAACCTCAAAAGGAACTAGCTCATAGGTTTGAACTAGCTGAAATGATTTATATTCAATTTTCTTGGCAAATGAATCTATCGTTTAAGCCATGTTATGCATAATATCGGATGTATGGTCATTCTTTGAGCACATCATAATACACCAACCGAATACATGGTTAAGTCACTAGATGACTTGAGCACATCATAATACACCAATTGAACACATGGTTAAGTCAATAGATAGCTATAATTCTAACATCCCGATTCCAGGTATGAATTTAATTAAAGAATAATTGGTCTTATGTCCTACTCGGCGAGTTGGTTGCCCTACTCGCCGAGTAGCAGTGGAAATGGAACGCATGTTTAGTGACCTACTCGGCGAGTCCACCAAGGGACTCGGCAAGTAGGAGCTGGTAGATGAAACCCTAAATTCTGGGGGTTTTACACCCTATTTAAAGGATCATTGGCCTCCACCATCCTCCCCTTAATGCTTCTTGTCCCTCTCAAACCCTAAAACGTGTGTGTGTGTTCTTTGGTGTGTCCAAGCTTGAAAGAGTAACCTTGGAAGGAAGCACTTGAAGAAGCAAGGAAAAGCAAGGCCAGGAACTCGTGGGAAGCTAAGGGATTGCATCAGACATCACTCTCTAGAAGGTATTAGGCTGTTCCTTAAGCTCTTTTCACTTTGAACCTCCCTTATATGGGTGTTATGAAGGACTCTCCATGTTTAAGCTAAGATCTGAATTTGTAACTTCAGATTTGGACTCCCCTTGACCTCTAGATCCATAAAGTTCCCAGATTGTACAAGGATGAAACTCTCCTAAGGTGTAAAACTCTATTAAAGAGCTTAGATTGATCATTTCGGGCTTTTAGAGCATTGCATGTACGTAAAGATTGCAACTTTACATGATAAACATGCCTTAGGAGCTTGGATCTGTAATTTGGGGCCTTGCCATGGCTTAAAAAGCATCTGCATGGATTAAGAATTGCATGGACTCGGCGAGTCCATTGAAGATGGCCATGAACTCGGTGAGTTGGATGAACAACTCGGCGAGTTCGTTGAAGATTGCCTTGAACTCGGTGAGTTGGCTAGGGCTTCTTCCAAATCTTGGCCACATATGAACTCGACGAGTTAAAAGGGGACCTCAACGAGAAAATCAAGGATTTCACGACTTCTCGAATTCAGGAAGAACTCGGCGAGTCGGTGACCTGCACTCGGTAAGTCGAGTCAACATAGACTGTTGACTCTGACTGTGGACTTTGACTTGGACCAAGGGTTGACCAGTTGCATTCTGTTGGTTTCTAGGATTGGGAGATTTATGAAAAAGGTTTTGTGGTACATATAGGTGGTGGAGTTCGTGTTGGACCGGGGAGTTGAGTTTTCTTATTTCCGACGACAGTTGCGAGGTGAGTTATCCTCACTATACTAAGGGGTCTAAGGCACCAAGGCCGGCCCATTTGATATGATATCCTAGTAGTTGTATTATGTTGAGTATGAGTTAGTTATGCATGCTAGTTTGATACGCTTGAGGGTAGGTCTGTAGGACTACCTGTGATACTGATTGATTTCCGGTATGTGAATTATCTGTTACGTGTGATATGTTATGTGGGATGGGTTAAGGTTGTACTGCTCCCTGCGGTAGCCAACAAACCCTAGAGTATTCCAGATATGAGCTGAGGGCCCGGTAGGCATTCCAGACTCATACTGAGGACTTGGGGGCATTCCAGATACGAGCTAAGGGCCCGGTAGGCATTCCAGACTCGTACTAAGGGCTCCGTGGCAATCCAGATGTGAGCTGAGGGCCCGGTAGGCATTCCAGACTCACACTGTGGGCCCAAGGGTATTCCAGTCTGTAAAACTATGGACCCGTTATGTGCTGTTCTGCTCAGTTTTTTATGATATGTTAAGGTGTGACAGGGTTATGTGGATTGTATGTGTATCAGTATTTTGAGGGTAACTCACTAAGCTCTCAGGCTTACAGTTTCAGTTTATTATTTCAGGTACCTCAGGGGATCGTGGCAAGGCGAAGGCATGATCGTACAGCTCCTCCCATTGTGTTATGTTTCTGGGAAAACTCTGATATAAATGTATTTTGAAAACAAAGTTGTAATGTTTTGATGAATTCGATGTGTTTTTCAAAGTTTAAATTTGGCTTAAATTTTTGAGAGTTACAAGTTGGTATCAGAGCCATGGTTTGAGTGAATTGGAAGAACATTCGTGTAAATCCAGTCTCAAATCGAGGAACGATTTTCAAAATGGTTTTAAATGGTTTTCAAAATAAGTAAAGGAGGATGTAGGGTGTACGATCAGCCGGAGCCAGTAAGTAGACCCCAAAATACCATACAGTTATTTGATATCGTGATATGTTAGAACAGCATGCTAGTAGTAGGCTAGGGATCTTCAGGAATTGCATGATAGAATTGCCTGATTATATGATGCTTGATATCCTAGGGATTTCTTATGTGAGATTGACATCATTACTGTAGTTGTCTAATGTATGCATCACAATTGTACCTAATTAAGATCTTATAGCCTGAGAATGTTTGATTTGGCCTTATGTTCTATTCTTGTTTGATTGGGAGCTTGGGGTAGGATTGGATATTCGAAAGTCTATAGGGTCCAGCGTTATGTATGGCTAGCATACATTAGTGCTACAGGGTTGGTGGAAGTTTCATGGATAGGAGGGATTGAGTGAGACCGGGAGGTCAGTTATGAGATATTTAGCATTCCTCTAGGAGTGAGGGTTGAGCGATCGCCTTGTTGTGCATATTGTTAGGGTGTTGTGGGGATACTTGGGACGAATATGGGTAGGTGTGGAAGGTAGCAGGGGCCCATGCTACTAAAAGCACAGAACCTATACGCGTGCCAAGTAAGTCGCAATCCTTAGGGTTAGCAAGGAGTTGGCTCCCAAAGATTTATATGAATTACTAATATCTTGTGATATGTTTCAGAATGGTGATGACGAGACGCTTCGTGGCTGGATCCGGTTCGGGATCAAGATCAGGGGATGGAGGTCAGGAGGGGCCGACAGCACCTGAGCCAGTGGTGCAGATGGGTACAGAGGAGTTGGATGCCAGGATTCGGGAAATCCTGCATTATGAGGTCGCTGCTGCATTCCGGGCTCAGTTACTGGAGATGTTCGGATCGATCAAGACCGCCATGGTGGAGTATTGATGAGCGCTATGTAGCCCTTGCAGAGACAGTCGCCGCAGAAGCTGCATCAGCTGTATCAACGACGGGGAGGGGGGGAGGGGGAGTTGGTAGAGTTTTTCAGTACAGGGACTTCGATAACACGAAGCCCCCTGCTTTCGACGGGACGCGGGATCCCATCAAGGCTATGAGGTGGATTTCAGATGTGGAGGGGTGTTTCTTCACCTTCTCATATCCTACTGACCATAAGGTCAAGTGTGCTCTGAACCTGCTTAGGTCGGGGGCCAAGGACTGGTGGAGACTTGCGACTGGGTCATACTCTGATGATAAGAGAGCTGCTGTTACTTGGGAGTAGTTCAGGGATATGTTCCGTGCCCATTACATTCCACGGGTTGAACGGGAGTAATTATCACAAGAGTTTTTGAGTTTGAGACAGGGATGGGGAGTCGGTGATGGAGATCACCCATATGTTCACTGAGAGGGTGATGTTTTGCCTGGAGTTTGCTTCCGAGCAGGCTTAGATGACCCGTTATCTGAGCACGCTCAAGACGGATATTCGTCAGTTTGTGTCTACCCAATGATGTGATACTCTTCTAGAGTTGCAGGATGTGACAACCCGATATTTCAACTCTTTGTAATGGCCTAATAGGTCAAGTATTGTAAACATTTTTTAGTTAATAAAATTAACTTTGATAATAAAATGTCCAAAAAGTTTCTATTTAAATTCTTCTATGTTTAAATATCATTAAACCATGATCGTACGTAAAAAGAACGCCCAAATCCGACTTCGTATAGTGAAATTATGATTTTTCCAAGTTCAGCTTAGCAACAGACAGCTAAAAACTCGAAACGGAGATCGAGCGACATTTGGCCGGAATGACCTAAACGAGAATCGAAGGTCTCGACAATGGTATTTCAACGGTAAAAAGTCTGGCAAAAACCGACGTCAGATAAAGAAGTTATGAATTTTTAAAGAGATTCCTTAATCACGTCATTTTAATAAATAAATAATAAAA